TTAAACCCTAAAGGAGGCGGTGATGGAAGCCGTCCCCTTTCGATATTTTCTCCACTGTCATCACAATACATTTTTATTTGCACTGTGTCTTCTGGAATGCTTTGTGGTCGCTTTGACACCATTTTTGTGGAAATTGCACGTAGCAATCACTCAAAATGTCCACTTCTCTGGGCCAGGCAAGCCAAAAATGTGTACTTGACCTGTGGGATGTACTCAATGCATGTGTGATTCTGTGAACTTGAACGATCCTCGGAGAAAACCATACATTGGATACACAACGCATCAAATTGTTAATAATGATGCCCTTCTGACGAGTTCATTGTTTGTTGACGAGATCTACCCTTCACACATTGCGCAGGCTAGAATTTGGAAAATCAGTCGTTTGTGTCGATTGGTTGATCTTGTGAGAAGCACGCAAGTTTGTCTGGCCACACAAACACGTGTCAAAAGGTACACCCATACCTGTTTTTATGAACAAATGTGGACATTTCTTTATTCTCCTGTGGCTAAGGAAACTTGAGGAAAATGCTCCTTTTTTTCCAACTATTATAACTCCTTCAAGCTTGATTTTTGATGATGATTTCCTGGACTGTTCCTCTTCATTTCCCAACAGATAACCTTGACCCCAAAATGTCTCTGAAACCGTTTTTCAGAGAGGGGAAAACATTGTGTGGAAACACGTACATGTACCCTACATTATGGGGACTTCTTTTGTGCAGAGGTCCTCACTTCATATATGCCATGCCTGCACACAGATCATAAGGGAATCGCTCTTTGACTTTTCCACCGTTCACAGATCCCCAAGCTCAGTCACATCTGTGACCCTCGTTGCATATCTTGGTCTAGGTGCTCTCTGCTCAACCTCCCATGGCAGTGTGACCGACATGTTCACATTGGTAAGACAACACCTGATTACATAATACTTTTCTTTTAGTAACATCAGATGTTCTTGAAAACGGAAGCTCCCAGGTGATGGGAATATCTCCTGAGATCAAATCTTTATCTTCTAAATTTTGAAAGGTATTGAAACACCTGATGCCCAACTTCTTGATGCTGATTGGTGAGAATGAGTCAGTAGCCATGGCAACCATCCCCAGGACAACGCAGGTTATCAAGGATAATGCTATTGCATTCATTCGGTAAGCACAAACGGCAACATGTCCCAACATATCATGTAAAGCAAGATATGGGACTGAGAGCACCCTTCCCCTCCACCTTTGTGTTGGTCATTGGATGATCGGAATCTCAGGAATTCTTTACAGACATGGGGGACGGATGTAACTATGTGAAGTTTGCGGTGACACCATGTAAACAAATTCAAATTCTCTCTTGAGTGTGTGTGGTTCTGAAAAGAACCGGGGTTCACTCGACGTTTCGAACAGTGTGCTCTGTTCGTCTTCAGGAGAAAGAGTGCCAAACTCTGGAGTGTGTGGGGCTTAAGTACCGGTGGAGAGGATTCAGTGCAGTGGAAACTCGTTGATGCGGAACAGCTTGGCTGGTGGTTGGATCCTAATCTTGGGGACGGATGTGTTAGGAATAGCCCACAGTGTGTATAGGGAATGGATATGTAAGGGGATTACCCCTCCGTCCCATATCTTGCTATCTGCCATCCCTCACTGCACACCACAATATGAAATGAGACCGAGGGGTACCCCCCCAACATGTCCAATCCCTATACACATTCCAGACTATTGTTACTGAACGCATCCCCCCAAGATGTCTGAAAGGAATTCCCCAGATTCCTGCGAGACAATGACCAACACAAAGCAGGGGGGGTTCTCTCCGTCTCATACCTTGCTGCATATGTACCACAAACCCTCCATTGTATTGCATCGTCTCTCCCCCAATTTTCCATTTGAAAGCCCAGCCTTTGGCTACTACCGTACCTTTGTCCCTGCAGAAAATCACTCTCCATTAACCCTAACCCTCCTCAATCCTTCACCTGTTGGAGGACTGAGGAGTGTTCGGGTTAATAAGCTGTAACAACTGTTAATGATAGCAAGCACATGAAAAATACCTGTTTAACCCCTTCGATACGGAGGACTGCTACTACCGCACCTTTGTGTGAGGATTAGTGCATACCACACATACAGTCTATTCACCATGCAGCTGCTGGTTCAATGGGGCCTGCTGCTGGACAAAGCCCTCCATTCAGGGCATACCACAGCCCAGCAGTCACGGTCAAAATCCCGCTGTGAAGGGGTGTAACAGGGTGGTATCTGTTTTGGTGTATTTGTTTATCCAGCCGTATGGCCCTCGACCTGGAAGAGCGAGCAGTTCCCAGCCTCCGTCTGCTTCTCCAGCACCTTTGTGTCAAGGTGCCCGACAAGGCCGAGTACCGGGCAAAGATGGCTCACACCGTGGTCGTAGCCTTGATGTTCATGCCCGTGGAGCACAGGGCAAGGTTTATTGAATGGCTGTACAAGTACTCCAGGAATGTGAAGGTAGGTTTGAGATCCCGAATTGGGCTGTGTCTGAATGTAATGGCTGCAGTTGGAAATGACATTTGCCTATGGCTGCCACCTATGAAAGCCACCTGTAAAGGCCACCTATGGCTGCAACCTGTGGAGGTCACCTGTGGCTGCTCCTATGAAAGCCACCTGTGATTGCCTCATATGAAAGCCATCTATGGCTGCCCTCTGATCGGTGGCCCCCTGTGGGTAGAAACTTCAGCCGCCACTCATAGGTATGTGTTGTCAGTACCTATCAGACGTGGTATTTATCCATCAAATTTGAAAGCTCTGGTACCTTTTATCAAACTTGTTCACTCAGTGCTTTTGACAGCAGTATTTACGTCTGTCGGATACTTTGACATCAAACCTGTAATTCCTCAACATAACTTCATGTTTGCCTGCACCACCTACACATGTTTGAAGACTTTGACATCTCCCCTTCAATGTAGATCGGTCATCGTGTCTTTGCCCTGGAGGTGGTTTCTGTGCTGCTAGAGCAGCTGACGAATGCTAAGGCCCACGAGGCACCTGCAGGTGCAATGGCACCTGCAGGTGCAATGACACCTGCAGGCGTAACAACACCTACAGGTGTGCCCGCACCTGAATCTACACCTGCACCTGAAGGTGCGCCTGCAGTTTCACCCGCTGTACCTTCAGGCAATAGCAGCCAGCAGTACTTATCGCCCACCTTCTTGACACAGCTGCTGCTTTCACGCTGCTCAGACAGGGCTCCTACGTGAGTTGGGTTTCCAATTTTAACCCAGTTGCGTTGTATCTTAAACTACTTGAAATTTCATTTGTACCTTCTGTAGCAACCCAGCTCCCCCAGCAATTAAGGAACAAACACAATATAATACAGTGCAATGCCACTATAATGGTCACAACAGTGCCCACACAAAATGTTCGGTATAGCAGTTGTTTGGTCAAGTGATTTTTAGTCACCGCCATGAAAAAAAAACGTGTGGGGTCGCTGTTGTAAGTTCTGTGAATGGTGTAGTGTAGTATAAAATTTTAACCTTCGTAAATGCAGCCCCACTAGCGTATTGAGCACACGGCACAGAGAAAACACATATGCGCGCGGGTGCATGTACGAAGCCCATGACGGAAGTTCAGATTTCATGTGACACGGCCACGAGGAACGTTTGGTGCCGATGTACATGTACGGTGTGCAGTGTGTGGCCGCCGACACGTGGTGCACAATGCATGTACATGTTCTATGTAGGGTACCTATAGTATGTACATGCACATGGAAAATGCAGGACTATAAACTGCTTTTTCGTCTAGATTTTCCTTACATGCAATCTGCATTATGTAAGATAATTCTGAACCATACTATCATAATTATATTGTGCGTATCGGGGATGAAAAAAGGGTATCGGCCCGTTGTTTGCGTATCGGGCAGAAATAATTGCGTATCGGGCCCGATACGCATGTTTGTATGTTGGGAGAACTCTGATAGTAGATGGGCCGGGAACCATTCCACCGCATAGGTGTGCAAGTTTATGAGCAGGGCATGCTGAGTATGCGAAATGAAGTTATACAGGAAGTTGTGGTCTTCGCGTGTGCTCCGAACACGTGTAGGAACCTGGTTGGAAAACTTCTCACCAGCCAGTCTTTGTTTTGCCGGTGAGAGTGGACTTCAACTCAGGGTGGATACCCAATAGTTATACCCAACAGTTAGCACAGCAGCTTTCAGGTCAGAAGCATTTGGCTGGTCCCTATCATCTCTGTGACAAATAAGGGAATAAATATGTGCTTGGACGGTCTTAACCCCTTCACGCCGGGATTCTGTTGACCATGACTGCTGAGCTGTGGTATGTCCTGAACGGAGGGCTTTGTCCATCAGCAGGCCCCATTGAACCAGCAGCTGCATGGTGAATAGACTGTATGTGTGGTATGCAGTAATCCTCACACAAAGCGGCGGCTCTCACTGTCTCCCGGAGGGAAAGGTTAAACGTGCATTTAAGACCGGCTCGGGAGTGAGTGGCAGGTAAGGGCATTTCTAGCATTTAGTCTCCTGAGCAAGGTCTTAAACGTTAGTTTATGACTGACCAAGCACATATTTACATATGTTCCTGTTAACAAATAGCTTTTTATTCAGAGAGTCAAAAGAAGTTAACATATGATGGATTTCTGATGATTTTGTTCAAAAATTTTACTTTCATTTTCCCGAACACCCCTGTCCATGGTATATTCCTTTTGAAAGCTATCCAACAGAATCCCCTTTAATGAACTTGGCACGCGTGTGGCGCATCGCGTGCACACAGACTCCTGACCAGTCCGACCCGATTCAACTGTCTCATATCCATATGCCAGCATGTGATATACGTAGCTGGCATTATCAAATGTTAATACACAGTCATGTGACGCATTTTGACCAACAGGAATAGAAAAACTGTTTCAGGTAATTATGAATGTTGCCTTGAATGGAGCAACCTCACTGGCAAAACTAAACTTTCAATAAATCATGTTTTGTGTTGGTCGCTTTTCGAGTCAGAGATTAAAATTTTACATAACCAACGTCAAGAGTCGGTAAAGTAAAATGTTAGACATTGCAGTGTCCAGTCCTCGATTTGAGTGTAACTGAGAATTATTCTGGAATTTCTCCATGGATGAAATCTAAAAAAAACTTAAGAAGAAGAACTGGGAAAAACAGTGTCAGCAGTTTGTGTGGGATTGCCATTTTGAATGCTGGGTGTAAAAAGACAAGCAGATACATGAATCCCAGATGAAATCTTGTAAGCGCTTTAATAAGGTTGAGCATTCTCGCACTTTCACCCCTGTCACATTGCAGAGAAGTTAGGCATCCGGGTTACTTGGCTATGTCTTGAAATTACACGTGGTCTCTATGGGAACGGGCTTCGGCCACTACCATTGACTAGTCTGTAATTTTAGGCAACAGTCAAGTAATTTGGACACGGTCTCAGTCTAAATTCTATTACTGCATGTCGATTGCAGGGTGCGTGCCAAGGCACTGACATGCTTTGCCGAGTTCACCACCTCAACGAACCCAACTATTCAGCAGGCCCTGACTGAGCTTTTCTACACCTCCGCGGGCCCCACCACCCCAGCTGCGCTTCTGCAGTCGGTAGGATATTGGAACATGAGAACCTTTGAGAAATATTCAGCTGAACTTCAGAAACATTCATTTTCTCTTTAAACCATCAATCCCTCTCTCAGAAATGTTGTCAGTCAGTAAATTCTGGGTTCACAGTTTTAACAGAAGTACCTATGCACTGAACCGTGTCTTCCCTAGATGACTTCACTGCAACAGCGCCCTCAGTTGTCTGGGCATATATTTAGACTATTTTGATTGTTTAAAAGTGTGCACTTTTCAGTGCATTTTATAACCAAATAGGAGCGCATAAGAGTTTTCGTGCATTGAAGAAAAGTACAAAGATGTAGAAAAATTGTGTTGAAGAAAAATTCATTGCAGCTACACTTTAAAGATGTGCTATGGTGCACTCTAATTGTCAGCCATCTCATGCGAACAACTTCAGTGTAGATTCTCCACCAAAGAAAATTCTGTTCTCATTTGAAAGGGTACTGGAACTCTGGGGTCTGGTCCCCGGGGCAACCGTCGCGATTCTGACCAGACGAATGAGGGGGAGAAACAGGCCCAGGATGGGGCCACGCCCGGCAACCTCATGGGCGGGTCTCCAGCACTGCTATTGGAGATTTCTAGTGGAAGTCCTTGTGAGTAAATTACATGTCTGTGCCAGGCTGTCATTTCTCATGGTATTTGAGGTTGAATTCGTAGATAGCACATTACATGTATGTCCGGTATTTGTGTCAGCTGGGTTGTCCGGTGCTATTGCTTGGCAAAGGATTGGAATGCTCCAGATCATGCACAATATCTCTTGTAGAAGGTTTGTGGAACATGCATGAGGGACAAATGCAAATTAAACATCAAGGTAACTCGAAGTTGAAGCACAGGCTGCCGGTTGCTTTTAAAAGTGTAGTGCACACAACGGGCAATTTTCAAGATTTTCAGTTTTCAAAATTCTTCAAAAATTCATCATTTCATTCAATTAATGGATGTTTACACCCACTCTTTGGTGGTTACTCTAAGCTGACAGGTAACGTTCATTGACTCCTGAATATTTCAGCCAGGCCTGCCGCCCTGTAAAGAGAGCCCAGAATTGTGAGGTGTTGCATAATTTCCTTTGTCCCCAGTGAATGTGAGTGGCATCTTTTCAAACGCAGCTGGATTAGCATGCAGTGGGGCTGTGTTGCTCATCAATGGGGCCCTGGAGCACTTTTGTCTGCGGTGCTAGTCCGCGGGCGCACTATGCCCAAAACAGTGGTATACTGTTTAAAAACAGTCATTGATTACTTTCGAAAAATGTAAGCCGAAAAATGATGGCAATTCCCAGCAGCAGGTCTTTTGTTCCGAGTATGATCTTTTGTTACACGGACCTGCCGGCACCCCGGCTCTGCGTATAAACCCATGGTGCTCAAAACGGGGTTCCCCGGCAGTAAGAAGTTAACATTCGTGGTAAAACGTCAAGTTGTCCCTTGTTAAGTTTGTAGTTTTCCCAGTAAAGAGGTGATTTTCAGGTACCAATGAAATTGCCAATTACAAGCAAGCGCCAGCTAGCAGAGACATTGGATCTTTTGGTACGTGTGAGCTTGAAGTCCTGTAAAAATTGCCCCCAGAACATGTTTAATAGCCGCAAATGAAGTTCAAAATGAAGTTTGAATCATCTTTATGCTTGCATTCACCCCAGGAAAGTAGAGGAACATTTTTGCTTTTGTTCATGAGCTTTTTGTATACTTCTTTGCACAGCTGAGAATGTGGGTCAGAACATTATCGCCATGCTTCAGAAACGAGCCTGTGATGAAAAAGTGGGCGTCCGGAAAGCTGCTCTCCAGGTAAGAGATGGCCTCACAATGGGGACATCTGGAAAATCCCACGGCGTGACCTATCCTGGATGGGTTTGCAGAAACCTGACCTTTCCGTAGGGAAATGGTTGCTCAGGCCGAGTTCATCAGCAACCATTGCCCAGCCGCTGGCCTGTATTGATAAGAAAAATCGTGCACCGAACATCACGAGTAACGGGACGGGTTACCTAGTCACTGGTAGCTGTTGATTCGTCGCTGAGCAATTCAGTGGTGTGAGAATTTAGCTTTTCAGCTGATGTCAGCATTTTTGTTTAGATGTTGACCCTGATTTTCAGCTTGTTTGTACACCTTGTCTGCACAAAGGTTTGGGAACTTTTTACACTTCGGCTTTTTGCTAGCTGTTTTTAGCTTTAATTTTATTATTGAATGGCCACTCACATCCCTGGCAATTTTTGCTTAACAGGCAATGTCACAGTGTGGCACTCACATCGACGTTCCTCCACCTGGAACACGGTGTTACCCTTTGGTGTTCCAGCAGGGCATGCCGAAAGTAATATCACGTCAGAGGTCATTTGGAATGAGATTCCCCTATGAGCTCTAGGATGGAAACAGAAATTTATTTATTATTTTTTTTCATCTATTTCGGTTTTAAAATCTCCAATACAAAAATCAGAAAATTTGTAATGATTTGATGACATTATGTATTATTTAAATGTATTGAGGTGGGTTCCTCCGTCAGAAGACAAAAGCACAAGAGGAACGATCACATGAATTTGCGTGCTTTATCACTGGTTTATTCTGGACAGGTCCGATTGATTCAAAGTCAGAACAACAGCTAAATATTTGTAATCTAGTGTGGCCGTTTATACCTTTTGGATCATTTTTACTGCGGACATATCAATCTTGACATTTCAAGGGAAAAGCATAAGAAAGAACAAATACTGTGTGTAGCATGGAAAAAACAACTTTCCGCACTCCACCACTAGAGGGCACTAAAACGACCAAACAAGCTCACGCTGTTTCTGACAGGCGGGCACACGGTGGCGAGGCATAGTGTGCACTGTCAGTGCAGGCCTTAATTGAACTCTTGATATTGAGTGTCTGGCGAAATCTCTTTGAAGACTGGCCAATAACGCCCACTTTTCTCCTCTCTGTCAGGCCCTGGAGAACATTCTCCGTCTCCCCGGCAGCACTGTCACCGCCAACGAGCTGCGGATCCTTCACAATGCCTGCCTGGACCCGGCGCTGTCCGTCCGCAAGCAGGCCATCGTTTCGCTCACCATGCTGCTGATGGAGAAGAAGACGAGTGTGCCCCTGCAGAAGTAAGACCTCCGGCTGATCTCATGAAACACGGCGTAACCTCACGTTGAGCATTAGCTTCATGCTGCGAATTTGCGGTGTAGCGGTGCCGAGTTTTCAATTGTCTTAAACATCTTTGGTGTTCCTGTGAAATCTTACAGTAGTTATTGAATAGTCTTTATATTGGTTTAGCTGGCTTAGCCTGCCAGATTGAAAAAGTTTTGTCTTTTCTTCAAGTTCTTTCCCAGCTAAACAAGTTTTTCATCATCCACACTTAACTTAAACTTTTCGCGTACTTGTATAAATCTCGATAAGTTGAGCAACGACGAACCTTAACGGGAAGGTGCTTAGGTGATAAAACTGTCCAAAACTGAGCCATAAAAATACAAAAGGTAATCCTGTATGATTACGTGTGTTGAAGGCATTAGCACGAGAACCAGCGTGTGAACCAACACGTGCCCGTGTACTCCATCCATTTACCCTACACTTCCTGATTCAAAATGACGTCACTCTTCGGTACTTCCTGCACAACCTGACCTCCGACGTTTCGCCGCGTGGCATTTTTTTTGCATTTTCCAGAGTCTGGCTCCAGAGCGTCCTGCCCGGAGTGATGGATCGAGAAGTGTCAGCCCAAGAAAAATGTCTGCAGGTAACGCTGCCAATGACGTACAGAATTAACAGTGAGACAGTGCTGTAAGGCAGGCTGTATTACACTGCACAGCTACACAAATACTTCAATTCTCTATTCTCTGGTCATCATGAGAAGCAGGGAACAAGATCAAACCATTAAACAGGTTATCAGACTTCATGAGTGGAGTGGAATGAAGAAAACTTTCATTAGGTGATGGAAAGAATGTTCTTTCGCATGATTTATGACCGATAAACCAATCTGAAGCATTTACAATGTATTTGTTTTATACAGTGCCTGGATATTCTCTTTTGTACAAATCGTTGTTGTCCTCGCAGCACAGAGTCATCGCTTTCATGCTTATCAAAGCAGGTGCATGTTTTCCTGGGTATCTTACAAATTTCTCTTATCAGTTGCACCGGTCAGAGAGCGTCGTCAGTTTAAAAGGAAAAACTGACGTTTTGTATTTATCACAAGCTCTCTGCATTACAGCGCTTATTCATGTGAAACTAGTTGCGTTGCTTTTGTGGTGTGAGCCCACCATAAATGTTAATATTTTTTTTCAATTCACCAATCAGATGGCAGGGATTCATTCAGACAGAGTTTGTGATACAGTTTGTAAGAATAGGTTGATCACTTCACAGTTTCAATTGGGAAACATCCTCTTGGAACGTAAAAGATTGGACATGTTCTAAGGCTGCTCGTGACTTTAATTGGTTGAGGCTGGAAATAATACATGCTCTTTAGGAAGCCACTGGCTTGGGACCGCAGCCACTTCTCATGGGTTCATGTGCTATATGTTCTGGCGTGGTTGGTTTGGGACTCGGTGTAGCTCCAGGAGTTGCATGAATTCTTGCACTGGTGTAACAAGTGTTTGTGCCCTGTACGTTTGCGGCAGCTTCTGAAAGAGGTTTTGCTGGATGGCATCGCGGCTCGTAGCCACAGCGACAATGAGGAATCACGACTGTCATGGAACCTGCTCGGTCTTCTCTCTGCGAATGACTCCGGAGATCTGAGGTGAGATAAGTTTTAATTGGACAAAGGCAATGTCACAACCCCCCCCATGGGGAGTGAAAATCCTATTTACAACTTCCCAAGCAACATTTGCATGTTAGTTCTTGTCATATTGAAATCTGTCAACATTTTGTTAGTCCAAAACATGACCAGGGTTTTGAACACACAGAAAGCTACATGGTCTGCTGATGTTTTTTTCACAATTAAACCAGAATCCAAAGTTATAGTTAAATTTGTCAAAGGGGATTCATGGTTGAGTTGCCGAGTGCCATCTTGGGAATTACTCCAGTCAATGGCCATGTTAGTTTTATAATTTTTTTTTTTTTCGAAAGTCTTTGATACAGAGCCATGTTAACTTCGTTGTCGGCTTTCTTCCCATCTCTCCTCTATTTCACAGACGCTACCTGCCGAGGGCTTGTCAGCTGTGGGCCAAGCAGAAACTGCTGTCCAGCAGTTTGGTCCGAGCACTGACGTCCCACATTAACCATGAGAATGACCAGGTAATAAAGAAGGGCTGGTCCAGGAGGCCAAGTCCACAATTTTGCGCACGCCGTGTTCCACATGTAACAGTTACTTAATCGTGGTGGTTGTCATTTGACTGTTTAAAGGCATCCAGAGCTGCCAACCAGTGTGACTTTATCGTATTTTGTACGATTTTTCAGTGACAATATGAGACTGCGATTTTTCTCAATAAAATATGATTTACCCAAAAAAGTAAGTTTGTAGTTATTTTAGGTTTTTACCTATTGTTTGGCGTGAAAATTGACGTTTTTCACAAGTTAATTTTGCGCAGCAACATCAGTCGTTGGGGATGTCGGAAATGCCATGCAAATGCATGCAAGCCACAGGACGCGCGTGGTGTCCATCCACGAGGCCGTCTATTGTCCGTTGCTGCTGTCTTTGTGCTGTTCGTCTGTGCGCCATGTACATGTATAAGCATGTGCGCCGCGCTCGCGCGATCATTCTGCTTTGGGATTTATGCAACAGTGAAGAATAGGACATGATTTGTAAGGTAAAATCGCAGGATTTTGTCAGCTCTGGGCATCTGCATGAAAAATGCCCTTGAAAAATTAGAAGCTGTTTCTACGGGGCCCATTCTGTTGGCACCCAGGCGGTGTGCATGCTTGAAATTCTTCCTTGACCAATAGGTAGTGGTCAATTTGCCGAAGTGCTAGCGCGCTCGGGTCGAGACAACTGCGTGAGTGTAATAGCCCCTCTGAGTGGCGTCTCGTTGGATCTGTCTATGAGAGATAGAGGGAGGGTGTAGGTTGGACAATTTGGTCAGTCCAACCATGATCTGTGCAAAAGTTCTCCTAGCTGAAGTGCAAACAGTGATAACAGACATAAAACCTTGCCCATTATCTCATTCATGTTGCTCCAAAACTGAAGTCCATTATGATGTCATCCTGATGTCTCACACTGAGTGGCATTTAGGCCACGCCTGCACACAGTTTGGCGTTGCATATCTAGTTTGGACGTTCTTGTGTTTATTCTTGTTTAGAAATCTCAACCAAAATATTTGCATGTCTTTCACTGTGAACACTTTTTTAACTAGATATTTGTTGATGGTTTCCTTGACTGTTTCTCTTTCTTGTGATAACAACACCTCCAAACCTCTGAACCTGTTTTTCAGAGGAAAAAAGTACATGGGTGTGGTCAAGTTCATACATAGTCAATGTCCAATCACTCCTTTTGCCGAATGAGAAATCTTTCAATCACATTCTCTTTGTCGGTATCATGTTTAAAGTATTATTTAGGAGTGAATGCAGTGATTTGTCGTGCTTCTGAATGACTTCCCAACTTTGGACCTCATTTCCCAAAGGCGGCGTGGCTCCTGTTGGCTGAGGTTGCGCCCTGCTCACCTACCTTTGACTCCGCCATCATCCAACATGCCTGGGATCGCTACAAGCGGGCCGACTCCCCAGTCCAGCTGGTCACTCTGCAGCGCGTGCTGTCAGTCGTGGGCAGTCTGGCCGGTCGCTTCAATGAGGAGGCACGGCAGGCGATGATCGGCGATATCAAGGAGAGGCTGCTGGCCTTCGATGCCTCACCGGAGCTGAGCGGATCGCTGGTGACTGCCCTCAACAAAGTGAGATGAATTTCATGGGGGCTTTCCTGTCCATTCCACTTTAAGTTGAAGTGCGCCCTCGCTGGCAAAGGAGACACAGGCTGTTTGGAAGTTTCAACCAGACCCGTGCGCATGCCCAACGCACGCACAATACCATACATTTCCCTCGCGTTCAGTGCGCCATGCACCAAACGTACATAAATCTGTGCGCACGTGTGGATGATAAAAATGTTTTTATTCCATTTCACCCTTCCAATGTTCAAATTGCTCCAAGACGAATTTCGCTTGCTGTCTGAAAGGCCAATTTTGTGATTTCAACAACAATGAGGTATCAAAGTTTGATCACCACACTTAAGTGCCACATCGAGAAAATTTGTCATTAAAATTCAAGATCATCTAAGGTGTTACTGAATGTCAGTGTCCAGAGATCAAATTCGTCTTTTATCATTCACTTGTATACTTTTGAAACTAAAGTGGTGTTGTGTTCTGAAGCATTTCCTTGTGTTATCAAGACCTGCATGTATTTTATACCACAGTAGATTACAAACAAAGGAGAGAATACTCACAAGTATATTTCCCTGTGCATGCACAGTGCACAATTGTTTGACAAGTTTCTCTTTAATACCAATACACAGAATCGTTTAGGGCTATGCTGAATTTTCAAATGTTTGGATATTGGATTGATCATGGTGTATGACTTGAAGGGTTTCATGGTGAAAGAAATTAGATGAGTAAAATGAGTGCGGTTCCACCATGTATGAATCTCTTGAGTATGTTTGGTTTAACCAACCACACGTACTCAGGAAAGTGATTCATATATGGTGCCACCGCAGTCATTTTACTCATCTGATCATGGTGTAGTCGAATGTTTTGTCTTGTAGATCACATATCTTTGTACAAACATGTACAAATTATTTTGTTTCTGCTTTTGTGAGAATTTGGTCCAACTGAATATTTGATCAACCGTATAATAGATCTAATGAAGGTCAAGTATTTCATTATTCTAAGTGTCACAGCTTTAGTATTGTTAATTTTAATATGTTTTCCAATGTTGTCTAGCTGTGCCTCGCGGTCGACGGCACCGTAGACAAGACCAGCGCCCTCATGGAAACCATCGCGGAGGACGTCCTGCAGGCGTGCCACGCCTACCTGTCCAAGGTCATCCTGGAGGACAGCCCCACCCAGGTCCGGGTGTGCGAGGAGACGCTGGTGCGCCACCTGGGCACCCTGGGGGAGGTGGCCCGCCTCTGCCCGGCCAAGACGTCCCGTCGGGTCTTCATGCTGGTCCAGTCGCTGCTGGCCGGGCCCACCCGAACAGAAGGCAAGTTGGGGGGGGGCCACCATTGTGCTGTCCATTTTCTGAATGATTTAGTATTCCAGTATTTGAAAGTGCCTCTGACCTCCGACCTCCTCCGGAGCTCGCCAAATACTTTTTTCAGGCATTAGCCGCAGTTGCCTGCTTCACCCGTCATCAAAAGTCGCATAGGCACAGCCTTTAGTTAAAACTGGCATACAATGGTCGACGTTCCCTCGTGCCCGCTGTATTTGATACCGTAACTGTGTTGGCACCGCACTCGTACGCACATTCTTCAGCTTGACGTGTACATTTAGCAAATCAAGACACCCTATTTGGTCAAAGAGGCATATAACGCTCGCCTACCACCTGTCCACGAGAGTTGCGCCACCGCAGTAATGGCTCCTTGTTCTGGTTGTGGACAACATTTTTACTTAGCCGGCCATTATTTTGGACATGCCATGTGCAACAGTAGGCACTGGTTATTTAAGGGATATTAGCTTGCAGATAGTCTGAGGTACGGGGATTGAGATTTGTCAGGATATTTCCTGATGTCAGGAATTTTCCCACAGAAGTTGATTGAGAGCACATGACATGGGTGTTTGAAGGGGTATTTCAAGGGTACCTTCAGGCAGACACAAATGGACACCACGGACCCTACGCTTCTTTGGGCCCTTGAAACCTCCTGCGACTTGTTTGCAGATGTTTAATTTTCCCCTCTAGTTTCACCCCGAAGTTATCAAATGTTTGGGTCGTTAACTTTCAGAAAAATTCATTTAACTTCGATTTGTGACACACAGGCAAACCGTGCATTGTTTTTCATTTTAAAAAGTTTGCTGCCGGAAAAGTTGACCTTTGCGTATGGAAGCATCCACATCTGTTTTCATCTGTCTTTTAACGTCAGATTTTCTTACCCGAAAAAGCTGCTGGGGGGCAGGGTTTGTACCCGCGAATTCTTCAACTTAGAAATGGTGTTTTGACCCTGCCAAGCAAGCACAACACATTAATACGTCAACTGCAGAAACGGAAAAATTCTTAAACGAGTGTACATGTCCTCCGTGGAACAAATAAGGAAAATTATGTATGTTTACACGTCATCCGGCGTCAAGTGGTTAATTCATTATCCCACCTCCCTTTCCCCTGGCCGCCAACCAAAATTCTGCCCCATCAGGTGACTCCATCCCAAGTAGCCAGAGCTCGTCCTCCCAGAGCCAGCCGCCCCTCTCCCAGTTTGGCCAGGCGGGGTCGCTCTCCGACACGGTCCGGGCCCACGTCTTCGTCACCCTGGGCAAGCTGTGCCTGTTGCACGAGAGCCTGGCCAAGCAGTGCGTGGCGGCTCTGTCGCGGGAGCTGGAGACCTCGACCAATCCAGCGGTCCGCAACAACGTGGCCGTCATTATGTGCGACCTGTGCATCAGGTAAGATACTGCTTTGGGACTTTGGCGCTGCTCCACAAGCGTCATTCCCCATGTGAACAATTCGGCTTGACATTCTTATCAACAATGGTAGTTCCGCACTCACTCCAGAACCTTTGCAAGCTGTTCTTTTCACAAGGATTTTCACAGCTTCAAAACTACTTGACTAGGATAAGTTACTATTTACTATTAAAGTACACGTACTTTCCTTTAATGGGTAACTCCAGAAAATAGGGGTCCATTTCTTTTTGTGTCCCTGTCACATCTGACATACATGTATGATTTTGTAAGTTCAGAACACATTTTGTAATTTCTAAGAGTAACGAATTAATGCAAATTACCTGCATAATAAATAGTAATAGCTTGAAATCAATTCCGGTGATATTTCCAAGTCAGTTAATGAAGGTCAGATGTAACAGGGACACAAAAATGTCCCACTTTGGACCCCTAATTTCTGGAATTACTCTAATGCAACTATCAATTCTTCAGTCACTTGGTCACCTCACAAGTATTTTTTGTCACACCAAGTTCTTAAGCAAGTATTTTCACGACAGTGTTACAGTCATGTCCATGCCTCTTCACTAATGTGCATTGTGAAGTACTCGACTTAAACACCGAGTTACCATGACAACAAATTTTGCGACCGATTTGATGACCGGATCTGCAGTTAATCTGCCTCTGTAGGTCAGTCTCAACGCATCACATAATGTATATTTATTTGGGGGGGGGCTTCTTTCCCAGATAATTCTTTCCCTGGCCAGTCATAACAAAGTCTCATTTCCTCCCCGTTCAGATATCCCAACCTGGTGGACCGGTACATTTCCAACCTGTCCATGTGCTTCCGAGACGAATCCAAACTGGTCCGCAAGCAAAGCCTTACTCTCCTGACCCACCTGCTCCTGGTAAGTTGAAAACCTGTCCCCTCATTGAAATCTTTGCATGCTCGGAATGATGTATGTAGTCTCTCAAAGGCTACATCCGAATGTATTGCGTAGAGCTAGGTCCGGGGTTTCATTCCATTGGAAGTACGCGGAGATGCCCTAGCAATAGACCTAGCCGTAGCTCTGTAAGCCTGTTTTTGACACGGCCAAAGTCAGACGTGAGTGTAGAAAAGCTCGCAGTGGAGATGTGATCGCGAGAACAATGTGAAGATTTTTGTTTAAATTTATTTCGTTTATTTTGGCTCATTGTCAGTAATTAACTGCTCTCCAATTACACAACGTCCACTTATTTCTGGAGAATATTTGTCTGTAATTTGCCATAAATGTTTCAGACCTTACTATTTCCATTGGGGAAACACAAACCCTTAAGTATTTCCTAAATGACTGTTCCAGTGGGAACAGGAACATTTCAACTTTGAGCTGTTCTCAACTTTTTCTCAGATATCGCTGCATTCCTTTTTTTTATTCGTTTGAGCCAATCCTTCGGGAAATTTTCCATAATGCTATTATTATTATTATTAATCATTTCTGGTAATGGCACCAAGGATTCCTCAAAGGCTCCCTAGGCACTGTAGCTTGCAAGCCTGAAGAAACCTGTAGAGAGGAGACAACGAGAAGCAGTTACAGTTTTAGAGGTGGGAGGAAAACCCCAGGGGAATATTCTGGGTAAAACCCATAGAATCAGGTAGGGACTGAAAACCCAATCCACATGTGGACCGGGCCAGGATTCGAACCACGGGCCGCAGAGGTGGGAGGCAAGGAAAGAACCACTAGGCCAACCTGCCCTTTAACAACCATGTTGACACCTAGTGAGCAAAAGAGGTCCACATAATGGAGGTTGTGCCAACCTTGTGTGGACAAAGCCAGGTCCAAACAAGGTTATCCCTTCTCTGGAAAACAGTTGTGGAGGGATTTTGGGTTTAGGAAGAGCAACAGTCAAGGAAATCATAAACAAATACCCAGCTCCGGAAAGGGTTCTCAGTGCAAGAAAAATGAGGATTTTCTTCGAGTGTTTTTAACTGTGACTAAAACCGAGGTTTTTTGACACTGCCTGTAGATAGATGGGTGTGTATGCGTCATGTCCCTTGCAGACTTTCGGTAAAGATTGATGCGTAGGAAACCAAAATTATTGGTCCTGCAAATGTGTAGTAAAGCTCAAATTTATAAACGTCAGCACCCAGCGTATGCGATCAAAATGTAGAAGGCACGACTTCAAAGATGTACATTTGCCTTTTTTCCTTTGTAGGAAGACTATGTCAAATGGAGAGGCCCGCTGTTTTTCCATTTCATCATGAGCCTCGTCGATGACGTCCAAGAAATACGTGAGTTTGGTAGGTGCAATCATATCTTTACAGTCATTTCTTTCCAGCTTAAACGATTTTGATATCCCCTCAGACAGGAATACTATCTTGATTTGCCTAGTTGGGGCAGTCTTGTCGATCACCGGCTTTGCTTAAGCTTAAAAAAGAATTGCATCTCTCCGGTTTTCACAGCCGAGTTCTCGCTGGTCCAGCTTCTCCTGAAGTGTCACCCCAACATGTTACACCAGCACTTTGTGGAATCGGTCTTCTACTTCAACGCCTATTACAAGCACAGCGGTGAGTACATTTTGAAATCCTCACCGTTTCTTTGAAGAACCAGCCCACAATGAAAAACATGTTAAAAATAAAGAAAAACGATTTCCCTGGCCTGGCATTTTCACGAGGGTTGGTGGAAACAATCTGGCAGTGTATATTTTCATGATCGGCTGAAGACTCAGCTGGCAACCTTAACCCTAACAGTCCTCAGTCTTCCAACAGGTGAAGGACTGAGGACGCCAACAGGTGAAGGACTGATGATTGTTAGGGTTAATATTCAGAGATGGATGACAGGCTAACATGACACGGATGCCCCAAGTCTCTTACGGCCGACATGTGTACACACTAATGCCTGTATGTGTGAAATCCAACAAGTCTATGGAAGCAGACTGTGTGTTGAAAATGAGCCTTGCTGCTTTACGTGGCCTGCCGCAACAAATATCGCTTCATGGTGACGCCCCATTTTGCCGTTAATTATGATGTTGGTGTCAAACTATGTTCAAATGGCTGTAATGAGTATTTGTGACATTTGGCCCGGCTGCTTATCAAAAATTAACTGCTGTAAAATATTTCCCTAGTCTAGTGTCTCAGCCTGGTGTCTCTGCTTGTGACTGGTCTTGTGACTGTCTGG